CATTAAACGGTGCAGGAGAGCGACAATAGCGGGTGGCGAGACGACAAAGGCGATCTCAATCCCTCTACGTTTGCTTCCTTTTCTTTTTTTTTTTTATTTTTCGGCAGCCAACGGTAGAGAATGATGCAGAGGAGAAGCAGAAACGGTTGTCCGCGTCGACGACGAGGCTGAGTATCAATTACACGGGCTCGGTGCCGTTAGAGTTTTCCGGAAATTCGCGTAGTAAGTCAAGCCGAGGGACACTGGAACACCCTGGAGGGCGAACAATGCCCCGAGGTCGACGCTTTCGCATTTGCATATGAATTGGGGGAGCGTTGGGTCGCCACCTACGCGACCACTTGCGCCGGCCGCAGAACACGACCCCGTACAGCCTCTCTGCTCGCCTTCGCCTGGGCCGACGAAAGTGTCTGTATAACATGTCACTGCTAGATATAACTGCTTATACTATTACTTGAAAATGTTTGCCCTTCCGACGTTACAACTGTTTCCACGAAGATGATTTGTTTCTTTTTTTCTTTTTTTTAAGATCCCAGAGGTTTCATCGAATGATTAACGATTCGAAAATCGAACATGTAGAATCCGGGAGAGTACTTGAACGTAATTGCAAAGCTGGATGCTTTCCAGAGTTTCGTCGGTGGATATGGTTTACAGATTCCTCCGCGTTCTACCCCTCCTCTGGTCGCATCGGCCTCGCTAACGAGCCGAAGCATTTTCCGGGTCCTTGCTAATTTTCCAAGTGTCCCGATTACAGCGTGATAGCCGGCGCCTGGGTCACACCGGTGCCGTCGGGTTAATTGGTTTTCATCCCGGAGCTGAAGTTACGGATATCCAGCTTGGATTATCGTCCGCTGTAAACATCGGTTTCACCAAGGATCCACGGCTGCCGGTAGGTCACGAACCCGGATTTTCTTTTTACAGCAACTACCCTCAGCGAACGTCGTATCTTCGTCGTTGCCCGGCTCGTGCCTTTACCACTTAATTGCTTCGTGTTTGCCTTTCGTCGAGCAGAATGTTTCGATATGGGAGATCCGTAAGCTTCAGGGGTGTTACCAGGAACGCTTGGATACGGGATTCGGTAAGTTTAAAGATGTAACGAGGTTGTTAATTTTGAAAGCACCCTTTGGGTGTTGGTTCGATAAGTGCCAGATAATATTGCTAATTAATTAAATAGCAGAGTCTGGGTGAAGAAATCGGATTATTCGATGCTGAACGCATTGCGTGCCAGCGAGCAACCCTCGTATGAAATAGTCAGCAGAAAACTTAGGGGAGCGATAGAAGTAGATAGGATGTTGTTTTGAGATTCCAAATTGCACACAGGGGTCAAGGAGGAATCCTGGATAGCGTTTCGTCGTTCTTCCATCCCCGAAGCGTGGGTGGATCGTGACCTATAAACGTGGAACGGTCGTCGACGCCCTGGAAAGCGAGATGGCGGCGGATATGCCGCGTTCCTGGACCGAACGTAGAGCAAAAGAAACAGATAGGAGAAGAACGCGGAGGAGGAAGCAGAGGGGGATGGGTACACCTTGAAATTCGCGGGCAAACAGAACTATTCGTCTTTATCTGGCTGAAACTATCTCGTTGGAATTTGTTCCGAGGATACTTGGGACATAGTGATCTCGCAAGAGGGTTCCTTGCAATAGCCTCTCTTGTCCTGGGTCAAATGTCAGCACAATTTTCAGAACTGGATCGCCGATCTAACACTTGTATTTTTGCGGGATGCCCGTTTCCATCGTCCTCTTTGACCCGGGACTTTCTCGCTGGACGGTTGCTTTAAATCTTGCTAGTTGAACGGTTTAGTATCTCCTTGGCCGGAGGTCGTGAATTCTGGTTGGTCGGAAATTCTGATTTAATATCGGACGAGAGAACAGCTACAACGGCGTAGACAACGAACGTTAATCTCAGGATTTACCGGTTGGATTTTAGTCTTGCCGTCTTCCCTTTTATATGTTCGTATCGCGATATTGCCCGGGAATCATTGACATACACAGAGAGTTTCGAGCTTCCGCTCGTACGATTCTCAGCTAGGTCTTTCACGCTGATCTCCGCCTGCTTCCGTATCCGATTCTGCTTCTCGTTTCCTGCTGCCGCAACTGCGACTAGCATGTTTTACAATCTCGTCCCACGCGTTACGGGATTGCACGCTCGAGCACAAAGAAACTCGACGGCAAAGAGTTACGGAAAATAGATTTGGTGTTTGGCTCCTGGCTTTCCTCGATGCTGATCGCGCGAATTATCGTCGAAACGGGGAATCGTTGATTACTTTCTCCGATGAGAAGTTCGTCGGGTAGCTCGAACCGGATCGATCTCAAATATTAATTAATATTGACCCTTTCATAAGGAACGGTTCGACGGCAAGCCGGCTCCGAATGCTCGAGAAAGAAATTAAGCTTTCGAGGGGACTTTGTTTAATTAAAATATCTCCATCCGCTGACGAACCCAACGGTAAAAAATATTCCAAGGATTATCGAAGTTACTTTTTAAGTTTGTCGATGAATATCGCAACGGTGGGACGGGGATTGTTATTAGCGGCAAGTGTTGAGAGAGGCACTGTGCAAATTGAAATATCCTGATTCATCGTCTAACGTATTCGTGTCGTTTGCAACCCTGTTAGAAGTTATGCTTCAAGAGCTCGTGTCTCAAGGGATAGGAATCCAAATACGATTCTACATTAGTTGTCTATGCGTACGACAGAAATTCAGAAACACGTACGCTGTGCTTGACTCGCATCACTTGCTAGACGGAGTGTTGCTGAATTATGGGTAGAAACGTGCACTTGATAGAATTCATTAAATTAATTTTCCCAAATATTCCTACGTGTACGTAGCCTTTGAAAACTTTACATTAATCCTCGAACCATTTAATTTTGTATTACAGGAATCAACTTGTTAGGTTTTACTTGTTACTTTGATGTGTTATGGTCAACCAGAACAACCGAATCAACAATATAACCAATCTATTAAATTTCTGATCAATATTTACACAACCCTGGTTGCCACCTAAAGTCGACCAATTTATGTTGGAAACTATGAACCATTATTTGCAAGAATATTGATGAATGAATACATGACCTACTATGATTTCAGTAAACATTATTTTGTATGCATCTAAACGGCTTTGGTAAACGTTCTAGAATTGAAGAAACCGTTTCAAACGCATCGTTAATGATCTCATTAAATAAATGAAAACAGAAAATATTTAAAACTCGTATATTATAGAAAATTACCCGGCGACCTAAAAAGCTGAAAAAATGCTAGTTAATTATCAAACACGCTCATTAAGAGTTTCTTTTTTCGCTGCTTTGAACAAGTTCTACCTACAACCGAGTAAACAGTCTGCATAAAAAGAGATCGAAGTAAAAGCAGCTGCGTTTCTCGATCCGTCCGCGATCCGTGAGCACTCGGAAATTAAAGTTGTTAATTAGGCGTCATTTACAGCTTCAACTGGACAAACGCGCGAACTGCGAATTTCAGTTTAAACGAGCCAGGGAAAATGATCGGGTTGCTTCAAAGGGTACGACCGTTTCATTGAACGCGGCAGCTCCATTAAGTTGTAAACCGAAAATTACTAATCAATTGGGAGGGAGGGTGGTAGCCGTTCGTGGAACGAGATCGATGCAAAATAAACCGCCCTTCCTCGAGCCCTTTAACTCGGTCCCGTTCCTTTTATTTCGCTTAGAGTGTCGCCAGCAAATCTTATTTAAAGGCAGATTTATCGCCAGCCCTGAGATCGAGCTAGGATATTACGCTGGACCCGGATGCGCCATTCACAATGCGACTCCTCGACTCAAAAAGTGTCATAACTCAAAAGCGGAGCGTCTCTTCGAGCACTTCCGCCGTTCCAGCACATCGTGTGCCAGAATCCATCCTCTTTTCGTCTACTCCGGCCACCAGGATCGTTTCGCTTCGCGACAACGGAATCCCCTGTGCTTTTTGTTAATAACGCGCGGGACCTGCCCGTGGTAATCGAAAATCTTGCGCGCTTTTTGCAAATCGACACCCGGATTCTATCCATCAAACAAACTACCTTGAAATATTCCTGGATAGTTCTTAAACAGAGGAGGATTTTTATAAAAAAATCAAAGGAACAGTCTTTCTTCCATGATCGATTCAAAATAATCCTCTAACCAAGTGTTCGATGTAAAATGAAATTTCATAGGAAATGGACCGTGTGCGGCTTCCAGGAAGAGATTGGAAATTTTCAATGCAATCTGTCGGATCTATCGTGCGTGACGATCGCTAAACGATAACAGGATCGATACGCGTGTGTCAGCTGGACGAAGAAATCAACATTCTGAGATTCTGTGATTTTTGCCCTCCCCTTTCTCAACGCTAGCTCCATTAGAGATCCAAGATTGACTAATGCGCGCTCGAGCGAGCACCGCTCGGCGACGCTTTTTGCCGCGCCGGCCCGCTTGAATAATTGTGTTTTGCAACGTCCGCGTCGGCCAAGTTCCGGGCATGAATCCAAAGAAGAATTAAGCAGAGGGAAACTTTTTAAGTGGACCTATAAAAGGAACAATACCGACGAACGTTGAGGTTCAGTTTTCGGAGGATCGCGAGACTCGCATCGCAACCGTTTCGATTCCCCCATTTTCTCGTTTTCTCATCTAGTTACAGTAGAACAGTGGTATGGCTTTTAAAGTGAGTGTACCCGCAATCAACCGATTGACCATTCCTCATTTTTTGTCTAACCATGAGATAGGTGGTTTCGATGCAACGCGATCGATCAATCGTTTCGTACCATTTAATTATCAGTCCGCGCGCTCGCTCTCTAACAGAATCGTTCCATCCCGGTCTATCGGGAATACCATCGATTCCCCGTGACATTGTTTAATCACTCCGTAAATTGGAAATTCTTTTCAAGATGAAAACGTTGCGTTCCATTCGTTCGCAGTCGAAATTATTTCTTACTTTACCCTTCGATCTTTGAACGTTCTAAAGATATTTGATATTTAAAAATTTCTCAAAATTTGCTGATTTTAATATTTAATATATTTTTCTATACAGTTGGTCGCATCCGTCCTCTTGCTTTCGACTATGTTCGATTGGAAAGTAAACGGCCACGGTCACGCGCACTCTTTCCAACATTTCCACGGGCCGGTGACAGGCGATGGACAGGAAGTGTCGTGGAAGGACAAACACGGACACCACGAGCACGATTACGTGGCCCATCCTCACTACGAGTTCTCGTATGGGGTCGACGACCACCATACGGGTGACTATCACGGTCAGAAGGAGCACAGGGACGGTAAGTACCGCGTAAATTTTCCTCGAGAAAATTAATCTTTGTTCCCGGAACAAAAGTCAAGTACGACTATCTCGACGCGTGTAAGATATGTAAGTATAAAGAGGAAGGATAACCCAGTTACGTCAGTGAAATCGCGATGCAAACGTCTCCGGTAAAGAACTGACAAATGTACGGCAAGCAAGAGGAAGGAACTGATTGCGAGAATAAAAAAGTGGCACGGTTGATCTTTGTTCGCGGAGGATTTCGTAATATCGTGGTTGGAATACGGAATGAAACACCTCGAACCATCGACTCGGTTCTTCCTCCTTCCTGTGTAACCGGGGGAAAAGCCTTTTCGAATCCCTTTCTCCCCTTTGCATCTTTTTAATTAGTTTACAGTAATTCGAGAAAGCCTAGCTCTCGCGTTGCCTTTTTGAAGTTAAGGGCGCGTCACGAATCCGCCCACAGAGTTTCTTCCATCTTCGTTTTCTACGTAATCGGCCTAATTAAAAGCAGACGGTGTTCTGCTTTAATGATACTCGGATTTCGAAAACTTCGAGGGCTCGTTTGCAGTAGGTAGTTAAATGGGTATCAAGAAGATTTCGCGAGTCTCTGAAAGCTATGAAAATTAACGATATTAAAAATGTTATCGAAGATATTCAAACGAATTCAAATTCTCATTAATTTATAGAAATAATTTTGGGTACAAAGCAACCTTCGATTTACGTTTCCTGTCAATTTTCACCATGAAATTCAACGATGTATCTTCGTCAGGTCTCCTTTAAGACGCTCATCGTTCGGCGATCCTGTCGTTAAATCAGACCCTCCTCTGCCAACAGACTTAATAAGATCGTAACATTATACGGGAGAAGTAATTACGTGGTGATAATCTTGGTTTTCGAGGCGACACGTTGATTTAATAAGTGGCTGATTGTAACCTCCCCTACGAGCCATCGAACGAGCTTATTTGAAAATCCTTGGTCGTTTATAAACGAGAGAAAACACGGTTGATATTTGCAGAGCCGGGTTCGACCTGCAACGAGGAGAGAAACACTCGTTGCTTTGCTAATTATTCGTAGAGGGAAATTTGCTTTGGAAATAATTCGCGATACGGTGACGAGCCCCATTCCTCCCTGTTACTTTACAATGTTAATCCTCTAACTAGCTGTGCTTCGACTATGAATTCTATTTACTGTACGCTAAACACCGTGCTCGCGTGTTTAAACTACGCCCTGTAGTTACGAATGAATGTACACCCCTGTGCAAAAGTATCCGTCTGAACATCGTATTTGCCATACACCTGTCCTTTCACCCTTCAACTTTCCAGGAAAGGATTAAAACATTCATTTGCCTGCAATTTTCATCGTAAGTTACTCGTTTCTCGTTCCCGCTATCGATCGGTACTTTGAGGCATTACGAGGATCTTCTCGTTATCTATCTGTTTACATAAATTTCAATTTTCCCTTTTCAAAAGGAACGAAATCGTTCTTCGATTGTTTTTACCTCGCCGGGCAAACGGAAAATAATTTTTCCCTCCTTTCATAAAATGATAAATGAAGCAAACTGTAATTAATCGAACGTGAAATCGTTTATCAGTTAGTTTGTAATATTCCAACGTTTTTAATAAACATTAGCGTAGCAGAATTCTGAATTCTGTCAGCGAAATTGCAGAAATTCGAGATAACCAATCAAACGGCTAATAGATCTGGGAGTAATTGAACATTTTTACGACTTTTAATTCCAGCAAATTTCCCCGACCGTAACGCGGTTTTATCATTTTCTTTTCAGGTAAAGAAGTTGTCGGCGAATATACGGTGAAAGAGCCCGGCGGTAACGTCAGAACGGTCAAGTATCACGCTGGAAAGCACGGATTCTTTGCCCACGTTCATAACAGTGACGGAAACGACCACCATGGAGGAGGGCATCACTATTAAATGGAGTGCAGCTGGTGCATTCCCTGCCAAAGATCACTTGTTACGTTACTATTGTTGCTGTTATTACATAACGTTAATTGTTCCCTTTCAGTTCTGATGATTAAAGCAATCGTTTAAAATAATTTTCTAATTTCACGTTTACAACCGGATTCGTAATTACTTCGGCTATCTGCGGGGGGGGGGATAGTTGAAAATTTAATACGATATGCAGTTGATCGCGGTAGATCGGATATTATCCGTTTCAAATTACTTGATCGTTTAGCGGCGGGAACATTCGATCGGCGAGATTCGTAACCCGAATCGAAAACCGATGGGCTAGGGCTAACGAACAGTGGCGCGATTTCACGGCGACCGATGTTTTTAACCGGAGTGACGTTTACTGATTGACAGAACGATCGTCAGGGACGTATGCATCTCCCCTGTGATTACATATCCAGGCTTAACGGAAACACAGCGCACCGTCGCGATGGTTTCACCTGCGAATCGATCGAACGCTTTTGGCAATTAATGAGCCTCCTGACTTGAGATACGATCGCTTTATCCCGATATCTCGCGGTCCGATCGATACTCCGCAATCGCATCGATGCCGTGAACCGTTTGCAGTATTAAGAGTAAGCTAGAGAATATCCGTTAATTCGCTCGATAATAACTCGTCGTCGTGGAACATTTAGCAATTTGTTGCGTGAGTACGACAACGGTAATTTTAACGAACTTTGAGAAACAAAGGAGCCACGCGACGCGGGGGACGGATTCTAATCAGGGATAAAGTCGAAGAAAGGCCGGACGCTGTTTAAATACCATTCATCAGCCGCACGCGATGGTAAACGTGGCAAATCGATCCGCGGACGGCTGAATGAGACGCACTTAATTGCGTTTACGCACAATACCTTCTGACGACAATATGTTTGGAGCACGTGCACGTTCACGTTGTCATCGACGGAACGGTAATTCCGTTTTCGACGGATGCTTTGTATCGTCTTGTCTATGCCTGTGGCTGTTGCCATTGAACGCTTGAAAAATTAAGTAATATTAATTAAATGTTCGTTGTTCACCAGCACACTTAACTGTAAGGAATGTTCTTACGTCATCCCGTTGCTTTCTTTCGTACCGTTTGTGTGCTGAAGTGCTCCGAGCTCCGTCCATGCTCTCATTCGATGTTTCCCGGGGTATTTTTCACGGCATTTCTGGTGCTGCGTGCCGAGCTTCCGTACTTAACGCTTCCCGTGTGACGAGAACTAGATTACACGGCGAGAAAAGCCTCCAGACGGAAGGAAGAACAATAATCCGGGAACAAAGCAATAAAAATGTTGTCCCGTGTTGTCGAGGTAATCTGCTGAGGTACATAAAAAATGATAGTAAAATTCTGTCGTTAAATGGAAACTCCATTTCCGATTGTCGATCGATGGTCCGAGTTTCGATTTCCAGGAATGACAGTTTCCGCGATGATTTCATGGATGTGTTTCGTTTAACAAAACTCTGTTTGCACTTCAACATTCGGCAAACATTTGATGTATTTTTTGATGCATAAATGTTTGTGTCAAGGGAGGATGTACCCTTCAGCGTAATTGGCGCTGTGCAAATATTGCACCGGCATGTCGGAATTTTATTCAAAATATTTTTTACAAACTGAATTTTCTCGAAAACGTGTACGGGTAACATTAAAGTTTCATTAGCGTCAATTGAACTTTTGGATATATACCATTGGTTATCAAAATTGGTACCGTAAAAAGGGGTTGAAAAGCACTGAATTAAAATGTGTGTATATTTTTCGACCAAACATTACGGTAAAAGGATGAATAAGAGAATGGTAAACTTTTAATTAAAGTTTCTAAATATGTTAACTGATCGAAAACGCGTCGCATTATACCGTGATTTCAATAAACGCCGGACGAGATTAATGGACAATTGTTATCGATAATTAATAGTGTTCAGCCGTATTTGACGTCCCATTGAAATTAGTAACCATTGTTTCCCTGTCCTTTGTTTTATCGCTCCTTCGCGGGCAGAATTTTCTTTGCCGGCTAGCAAAGTCATCGAAGAATCTTCGAGTAAAGACTCCGCGAACAAGCCGGAAAGCCAATGAAATGGAAATCATGAGAAAACGTAGTAGAATGAATACCCCTCGTCGTGGTCTTACGAGCCATTAAAATTGGATATCACTGAAACTAATTTCTTCTGCCTCGCTCATAGTACAGTTCATATAATTGTCGACCCTTGTTCGAACTTTGTCCCGGCTATGAATTCGAAAAGTTTCCACGACGAATCGAGCATTGGGGACTTGTTAATTAGGACCTATTCTTCCCAAAGATTCTTTATTTCATAATTCAAGAAAAAAAAAGATTTACTACCAAGAAACTTACACTTGTTCAACTGTATTTTACTCTCGTAATGAAAAATCGTAAATATTTTCTTTTAAACAGGGCAACGTATTTTATAATTAAAAGCATTTGGACTACGAAAGATAAAAAATCGTGACCCAAACAAAGGTATTAACTTAAACTTAAATATATAATTATTAAACAAAAGGGTTTTCAAAGGGACGGTGCAAAATATAGAAAATGAAAATATATGGAGTGCAGAATTAAATTAGAATTTTGGCTTCCTCCATGGTCCGCCGTGTGAGGGGTTCTCTCCCTGGTCCGCGCGCCGTTTTGGGGGGTCTCTCCATGGTCCGGCGTTATTATTACGTTACATTTCTTACTTTATAAAGATTACATTTCTAAAGATTCCCTATCAAAGATAATTGGTGATGACATATATAAAGAATCCTCATGGCTATTTTGAAATCCAGTTACACCGTGTTGCCGGAGCAAACTGTGCATGCTTTCGAAGGGAAGAAAGGAAAACAGCGGTATGTTTGTCCAAGGCACCCTGTGCCTTCGGCCCTTCGAAGTTAAAGACCAAATACTCAATCTCGCTGTCATAAAGAAAATAACAGAGCTGCCAGGAAATCTCGCGCCGTGTACTTCCGTGTTCCCTCGATAACAATGTAACCGTTGAAACGTCATTTCCATGCGCGAACGAGTACGATGAAGAGAACGCGTTCATCAGTTCTGAGTTAGATTGAAGCTCGACGTTTCCGGTAACCTTGCTTATCACGATGGAATGAGCACATCCCTCCACTCTTGACACACCTCCGCTATACAGGTCTTCTCAAAAGTGGAGTTTTGATGATATCACATATTGTAATGATATCTTATTACAGAAAACGAAAGGTTTTACGTGAGAAAAATGCTACTACTATATAAAAGGACAGCCCCTTTTTCGTTTTGAACCGTTAACCGCGAAAACTACTGAACCAATCGCTATCAACTTTTAACTATATCATCTTCATGGTCCCTGGAAGGTTTAGCAATAATAAAATCTACTGATTTTTCATTAAAATGTTATTATGCTATTAAAAAAGTGATTTTTGATATATGAATCCCCGTCGCGCATGCGCTCTTATCGCCCGCAGCCGCGCATGCGCTCTTATCGCCTGCGGCCGCGCATGCGCTCTTATTGCCTGCAGCCGCGCATGCGCTCTTATCGCCTGCAGCCACGCGCGCGCTCTTGCACCGCTGGAGTTGAGAATCATCCACTAGATGACTAGCGGCATTCCACAAGATAGTTGGCGAATACAGGCTATAAGATGAGCTCACCTACTCGCCACATCAATTATTACTTCAAATTCTGTAAGTTTTTATTTATGAGAGCGGGCAAAGCCGCGACGGGGATGCTAGTGATGAATATTATAAGAAAAATATTACGGCGATGATAACACGAATTCTATCATTTATTTTGAATCAACCTGTGTTTCACACTGGTTGCATCGAATCTTCGTTAAGATCGGGTCGATGCAGTCACCTTTCCCGTCGTTGTTTCGCCGGACAATGGATGAAATTAAAGTCACAATATTCACCTAGCCAGTTTTATTCAGCGACAGTTCGTTCTCATTTAAATTACGGGATAATTTGTATGATGGCATTGTGAATTCCTTTTACATACGAGTTGTCGGAAAAATCGGGCCTCGTAATAAAATATCGTGACCCGATTGTCAGAGATCTTGAAAAAGTCCTCTTTATTTAACAAGCATCCAGCTTTTTCAAGCACTTTCGAGGCGATACGATAGAACACGAGGTAAAAATTGTTTATAAACGAATGAAACGGTTTATTGTTCTCGTTTCAGGCTCGAAGGGAGAAACGGCGAGGCATAAAATTTATACGTTACGTAATTCCGCTTCATCCCCGGCGGAACATCCCTTCTAATTTCGTTTCTTCCATTTTTTTTTTCACGTACACGATACGCTACGAGAAAGGGGGGAAAAGTAGGAAAGAATTTGAGCGCGAAATAGCGTCGTAAAGTTGAAAGGTAAGTGTGCGCTCGTCAAATATCGCACTGGCATCGAACGGTTCCAGGAAGCACGACTTCTCTTTCAGCTTCCGCTTTATGAAGTTTCCTAGAGAGATCCTCTTCCCTTTACCTCCGGCCGCGAGCGTGGCAAAAGTTTCAGCCGAACGTTCTACGGTGTTTTATTGTAAACGAAAACACAGGGGGGTGGGGCGAAGTTTGAAAATAAAAATAATAAAGTGGCAGCAAGAGGAAAGACATAGCCGGCTGAGCAAAGGGCGACGACGTTATGGGAAAAGCTACGAGGCTTGAAGAGAAGTAACACGGTTGACTGCTCTTGGTTTTTCCAGTTTTAACAAAGTACAGTTTTGCTAGGCTAATTAACCGATAATGAGAGAAAGCGAGAGGAAATGTTCGTTGCAAAGGGGCACCAGCTCAGACGGAACAGAGAACACGCGGTCGTAGTTAATTTTGTCTAATTAGTCAACTTTAAAATTTGCTAATGGTATTTCATCGAGATACCTCATTTGTCAATGTTTCTCTGGAAGAGTAATTATTTGTAATCAACTGACAGGGCAGTTTACGTAGCTATGGAAAATAATTGAAAGGTGGAGAAATATTGCAAATTATTTAAGCTTCGAAGCTCGACGACCTAATGGAATTCAAGTTT